ACCACCCAGCGGCCCGGCGTCGACTACAGGGAGGTGCTGGGTAAGTGGGTGGTCACCGGTGGGTGGTGGGGTGCTGGGTGCCTGCCCAGCCCTCACCCTGCCTCCGCCTGTCCCAGCAGTGCTGCCCGTGGCAGGCAGTCCTGGCCCAGTGGGGACCCGGGCACGCTTCACCGGCACCGGTGCCAGCACCGGCGTGGTGGGTGGTGGCTCCCCCGTGCCCCTGCTCAGGGCCACATCCTGCTGCCTGGAGGACCTGAGGCCGGAGCTGCTGGAGGAGGTGAAGGACATCCTCATCCCCGAGGAGCGGCTCGTCACCCACCGCCACCAGGTCATCGGCAAAGGTGACGCCGCACCCCGATTTGGCTTTGACATCACCCGCTCGCCATGCGCGGTGCCAGCTTCATGCCACCTGTCCCCGCAGGGCACTTCGGCAGCGTATACCACGGCACCTACACGGACCCGCTGCTGGGCGACCTCCACTGTGCCGTCAAGTCCCTGCACCGTGAGTAGCGCCCGCTCCCGCCGTGCGGTCCTGCGGCACGGTCTTACGGCGCGGTCCCACGGCACGGCACAGCGGCAGGGCGCCCCACGGCTCGGCTCTCGGCAGGCATCACGGACGTGGAGGAGGTGGAGGAGTTCCTACGCGAGGGCATCCTCATGAAGAGCTTCCACCACCCCCAGGTGCTCTCGCTGCTGGGGGTGTGCCTGCCCCGCCACGGGCTGCCCCTCGTCGTCCTGCCCTACATGCGCCATGGGGACCTGCGCCACTTCATCCGCGCCCAGGAGCGGGTAGGGGGTACCCTTGGGGGTGGGGTGGAATATGTTGGGGGGCCAAGGTCACCCCGCTCACCACTCCTACCCCGCAGAGCCCCACGGTGAAGGATCTCATCGGCTTCGGGCTGCAGGTGGCCCTGGGCATGGAGTACCTGGCCCAGAAGAAGTTTGTGCATCGGGATCTGGCGGCCAGGAACTGCATGTGAGTGCGGCCGTACCCGCCGGAGCCCTGCCATGGGGTCACCCTGTGGCCATGGGGGGTGCTGCCTGATGGCCGCCCCCCCCGCAAAACTCTGTCCCGCAGGCTGGATGAAACACTGACGGTGAAGGTGGCCGACTTCGGGCTGGCGCGGGATGTGTTCGGCAAGGAGTACTACAGCATCCAGCGGCACCGCCACGCCAAGCTGCCCGTCAAGTGGATGGCACTGGAGAGCCTCCAGACCCAAAAATTCACCACCAAGTCAGATGTGGTAGGCACAACCCCTGTCCCTGTCCCCTGACCCCCGTCCCCCTCCCCCCCCCCCCCCCCCCCCATGGTGGCTTTCTGCTCAGCAGTGGTCCTTCGGGGTGCTCATGTGGGAGCTGCTGACACGGGGGGCATCGCCGTACCCTGGGGTGGACCCCTACGACATGGCCAGCTACCTGCTGCGGGGGAGACGCCTTCCGCAGCCCTGCCACTGCCCTGACACCCTGTGAGTGGGGCTGGGGGGTGGGCAGGGTGGTGGGGTGGGTTGGTCCTGGGGGGCCACTGGTGCTGACGGGGGTGTCGGGGCAGGTACAGGGTGCTGCTGAGCTGCTGGGCACCGGCGCCCGAGGAGAGGCCATCCTTCACGGGGCTGGTGGGCGAGCTGGAGCATGTCCTGGCCACGCTGGAGGGCGAGCACTATGTCAACCTGGCCGTCACCTACGTCAATCTGGAGTGTGGCCCTCCCTTTCCCCCTGCCCCCCTGGGGCAGCTGCCTGATGGCGAGGATGAGGATGAGGATAACGAGGAGGAGGAGGAAGAGGAGGAAGAGGAGGAGGACACATCCATGTGCTGATGCGGTGCCCTGCACTGTGGGGGCTCCTGGACCCCCATACACCACGGGCACGCTCTCCCTAGGAGGGTTGCGGTGTGCAGCCAGGTGTTACGGGACACCCTCCCTATGGGATGGGTGCTGGGAGGCAGCCGGGTCCTGTGGGGTGCTTTCCCACGGATCACACCCGGACCCCGCTGGGTGCTGCCCGGGCTTGGTCCCACGCCATGGGCTGCCTGCACTGGCTGGGTGCTGGGACGCTCAGCCCCACGCCGGTGAGGCTGTGCCGTGGGGTCTGGGGCTCAGCCCCACAGCAGCTGGGTGCCACGGAGCCCCGGGCTCAGCCCCAGTGGGTGCCATGGGGTGGCTTTGCCCACCCAGGTGTCCCATGGGGTTTCCAGCCCCTTGACTGCTCGAATCACTCATTAAAACCTAATTATATTTGTTCCCAGGCTGGGGCTGTGTCTTTGAGGGGGGCCATGCCCCAGGTTGGCAGCACCCCTGTACCCCTGCGGGGGGGGAGGGGGGATGTGCTCCCCACTCCGGGTTCCCACCCCCTCGGGGCACCCACCTCACGGGGGGCACGGGTGAGGGTGCACCCACCATTCCCGTGCCAGCCACGGGAGGGCACCTGCACACCGGTGCTGGCATGGCCACCCTGGGCACCATCCCCCGTGGCCCCGCTCGCCGGCGATCCCAAATGGCAGCGGGTGCCAAGCCGTGGCCCTCGCCTCTGCCCCCTTACCTGGGCGGTTGGGGCCATGGTGGGGAGGTGGCATCTCACTGGGTACGGCCCTTTCCACCCTCTTCAGCTGCGGCTAAATATAACCCTGGTGGCTGTGCCAACGGCTCTGCCAGCCACGTGGGCTCTGCCAGCCAGGTGGGCTCGAGGCACCTGCCTGGCTGTGGGGCCAGGGTGGCTGTGGGGCATGAGATGGTGTGGGGACCACCACGCTTTTGGGCGCGGGGTGATGGTGCCTCTGGGATCCTGCTGCCTAGGGTGTGGGTCACGGTGCCCCGGGATCACGGCATGATGGGTGCCTGGGATCACGGTGCCCACGGGATCATGATGCTCCTGGGATGATGGGTGCCTGGGCATGGGATCAGGGTGCCCTTGGGTTCACGGGTGCCTGGCCATG